ACAAACAAACGTTTGTTTACTTTTGGATCCTCGGCCTACAGATAGTTTAAAGTATTTATAACAGATTATGGAACAAATCAAGATGATTTTTTTTGCTTAAACCAAATTTTATTTATAAAATCAACCAATAAAATAAAATATGAACCGTCTGTAGGTCGGACGTTATCTGTGCGTTGGACCGGCTCAGTGTTCTGACAAATTAAATTAAATATATATAATAAATATATATATTTTATATCTCAGCACCAATTTAAATATAAATGACTTGAATCTAGTTTTGGTTGTTTTGTGTGATCGGCTGATTGTGTCGTCACTCTTCTTAGATCAGATAGATTAATATAATATATTGATTAATGTGATTAAATTATGACTTCTGTCCTGATAAATTACTCAGAAAGGAACAAATATTCACTTTTACAATATTATAATTAGAGCTGAAAGAATTCAGCAGGAAATTAATCTGCATTTATTTTAATAATCAATTAATCGTTAAGTCTTTTATCCAGTGCGATCATTTGATCTTTTCTCTGTTTCCTGTCGTTCCAAACTGATTCTCTCCGTTTTCGGGGCTTTAAGAAACAGATTTTAACTATTTTAAAGACTAAACGATGAATTGATCACTTGCAGATTAATTGATAATAAAACGTTTCAGGTTGTTTTAACGAGGCGTTCAAAGACACACAGGAAATATTTCACTGCTTTTAAACTCAGTCTGAAGTTTTATCGCCCTCTGCTGGTAACTGACGACATTTGTGACTTTTATTTTGTTGTTTTTAAATCATTTTATTTACCCGAGTTTCTCTCTCTGTCCACTGCCTTGTTTGTTTGTTTTTCCAACTTATTTACTTCCTGAAGTTGTTGTTGTTGATTGAGTTTGGTGTGTGTGTGTGTTTTATACCAGTCTCTCTTTATTATGTGTGAACTGTGTCAAACCTCTTAAACTGAAAAACACTAAACTCTCACTTCCTGTTTGTAGGTCAACTTTAAAAGAAATAGTTCGACTTTTTTTTTTTTTTGATTTATTCGCTTTTCTTTGTCGAGTTAGAGGAACGTCGATGCCACTTTAACGTCTGTTCGGTTTTAATACGACTGGAAACGGAAATCTGACTTTGATTTGATTTCACAACTTCAGTGTTTACAGTCAGTACTCTTTTAAAAAGTAATATTACTTATTACTATCTGCCAACAGTAGTTAGTTACTTACTTTTCTGGGTAATTTTGTCCTTTCTCCCCAAAATTCAGACAATTTAAATCCCGTTTTGTTTGTTTAAAATCAAACTTTTGGGAATATTTCCATCTTCCGAACTATTTTCCTCCACGTTTACAAAAAATGAATCCAACGCTGTGATTGGATGTGTGATAGTAATTAGTTACACTACTAGTTACAGGAGGATTACTGCAATATTGTGGATCTGGGTTTACTGATTAAATCAATAGTGTTAATTATTGATCCTGTTACCTGTCGGACAGAACCGGGTCAGCTCCTCGTTTCCAGTCTTTAATCTGAGATCGATTCGACGTAAATCCACCTCAGTCACATTTTCACCATCGATACCATCGTGCTTTTATTTTTTAAACCTTTTGCAGCAGCGTGAGCTTGACCTTTAACCTTTCCGACCTTATGCATGTGACTGGTTGTGTTTCTTGTTTTACCGTTTAAGGACGAACCCATCACAACGTAAGTGCAATAAATTGAGATGAAAAAGTCATTTTATGGATTTTACTGTAATGAAAATGTAAATCATGACAAACAACAATATATCCGCATGCCTAAATGTATTGAAGTATTTATTGAAACTTCATATTTTAATGATTTTTAAAAAAAGCAAATGTAAATGTACTTTATAAGAAGTTTTTGTTGCTTTTGTTTTCCTATCATGACATTCCTCTTCTGCTTTCTATATTTCTCCGATTATATCTATTTTTTTTCTTCTTTCAAAATAAAATTAAGCACCAAAATGCTGTTTTTGAACGCTCCGTGTGTGTTTATTGATGTATTTATCAACGATTATAGCTGATAATTAATGAGAATATAGTTAAAAACTGTTGTAAAAGTATAAATATATATTAAAAAGGAGATGTTTAACATAAACGTACATTAATTAACACTTAAACCTACATAATAAACCTGTTAATGTTCACCTGCTGTATCTGAACACCAGAAAAAAAAACGACACAACTTCAGGATTCTTCATTTGATTTTGTTTTACTAGAAACTCAAAATTACAATTTGTGTTTATTTTTTAAGCATCGTGATATAATCAACATTTAAAACTCTTTATTCAAACGTTTGTTTTTTTCCCTTTTTCAAGCTGCAATAATTCATCATTTTCAAACGTCATAAAGTCATTCAAGTCTCCCCCCCCAAAAAAAAGTACCCGAACCAAACAACAAAGCCCTTTTTATTATTTAAATCGTGTTCTTCAGGTGTTCCTCGCAACGTCGCTGAATATTTGTTTTTGGCAACAGTAAAATCCCACAAAATAAAAAGTACCGCTCCCGTTGATGCATCTCTGTACCAAAGGCAACATCAGCAAGGAGTCAGAATCTGTACACGAAAAAAAAAACGTTATTTGGCAAAAAACAAAAGAGAAACAGATTCCAACCTGCGACCGCTAATAAGTTTCCGTCTCTTCGGATAAATAGTTCAGAAATATTGCCAGTTTTTCCACAAACGAACCAGACGATTAAAAACAAAAGTGAAAAACAGAGTAAATAAAAAAAGAATCTTTTGCTTTTTTTTTTTGTACACTTTCTCTGTAACAGTTTTTAGTAATAAATAAACAAACAAACAAACAAACAGGATTCAATCATTGCACTTCAGCTCGCAACGGAAACAGAAAAACAGGAGGAACTAAATCACTCACACACACAAACTCCATTTTTACAAGTGCACTATGTTTTTAAAAAGTGTAATAGAAAGAAAGACCGCCGCCTCTCGCTCGTGGTGGAAACATATCGGAGAGTAAAAGTACCTGAAAGTGAGAGTGGAAAGTGTTAATTTACCCTCTGACGCTCCCTTTTTTTTTGTATTGCTCACATATTGTAGAAGAATATAAAGTCCTCACTTTGTTTGGCCGCCACCTCGTTGGATTCTCCGTCACAGGAGGAACGTTTTGTTCAGGAAACGTCTGTTTTTGGCCGACGATGACGCGAGGAAGAGCTCAAAATGAACCGAAGCTTCGAAAACGGAACGAATTTAAAATGATTGAAGGAGCAAAAATAAAAGATGAAAAGTCAACGTCCCGTCAAACGGAAAAAAGACATTCGAGAGTTTTTTTAACGTGAGAGGAGATTCCAGCGTGGAGCGGAGGGGAAGGCATGGTCCAAGCGAAGCCTCGTCTTCACCCGGCTGGTTTGTAAACGTGTTACCGTACCGCAGCGTGTGTGTGTGTGTGCGTGTGTGCGTGTGTGCGTGCGTGTGTGTGAATGCATAAAGTCGTGTGTAAACTCTTTAGAAAGAGAAAGAATTCAAGTTTTACGTGTCAGTGACGGTGCGAGTACCAACATGCAGGTGATTTTTTCTTCCTTTCTTTCTTCTGAGAGTCCGTGGTGATGATGGTGATGATGATGATGATGATGATGATGGTGGCGATCTTCGTCTCTCTAGCTGCCCTCGAGGAGTTTGGCGAGCGTGTCCCGCAGCTCCGTCAGCTCGAAGATCTTGCTGTCCAGCAGCTCCAGCAGCGAGCGCAGGCTCTTGCGGAAGGCTTCCCTCTCGTGCTGGCTGCTCTCCAGACGCTGCTCCAGGTCGCTCAGCTGAGCCTCCAACGTCTCGTTCCTCGACTCCGAGTCCTGAAACCGAAACACCACCAACAAAAACGTTTAGAGCGAGAGACGAGGTTCCCGTTCTGCAGCTGGAAGGAGAAACATCTCCAGTGAGAGGTTAAAGAGAAATAAATGGTTATTGACGTTATTTATCATATTTTAAGTTTCTGAAAAAGAAGTTTAATATGAATCTTTTACTTTTTTTACTTTCTTTCTTTCTGAAAATGTATTTCTTGAGTAGTTCTAGTTACTAAGTTTG